TCCATCTTAAAGTGATGGTATTGAACATGCTCAGAGTGTTTTTAAATTTAATATCATGCGAAAGGAACCCCCTCGTTTGTCATGAAGGAAAATTGGTGAAATAAACTCACCCGGTTCGTGTTGAGATGGGATAATAACACCTTTAAGTAGGGACAATATTTCATCGTCTATGAATTTACATTTAGGCTCTTTCCAAACTGGTTGAAAAGGCACATTTTCCTGAAGTGGAATGGTGCTGAATGGGATTATTTCCTTGGATACAGATGTTAAAATTTCTAAATCCGTAGTTATTTCCTTCCAAGCATCTATGCAATGAGGGATTCGTCGAGCCTGGAATGCGATCGCCTGACATTTAAAATATTCAAGATGTGGTATAAATGTGGTGAATTGGCTTACCTCTAAAGATTGTAGTTTTTCAATTACACTGTGGGTTTCTTTGGCTGACTGTCTTGGTCATTTGTAGTTCTTCTTTGGATAGTAAGGGCGCCTCGAGTTGTTGTGATGTTTGTAATTCGTCGGCCGGTTGAACTGAGGTGCTCAATGCATCTAAATAATCAAATTTACCAAGTACATTGGTGCTATGGTGCATTGGCTTCTTTTGACAGTGCTGTGCAGCCCGGAAGGAGGGAGGGGGAGCAGGGGTGGGTGAAATTTGCTCTGGGCTAAAAAGGCCCCAATTTACCATTATTTATTCCTAAACAAATGCTAATCTTGCTAATCAGTTTAATATTTATTTTTATTTTGTAGATTTTGTCCTCCTAGAAATTTATGGTCAATGAGATTTGAGGCAAAGCACACTTTTTTTAAGTCTGCAATATCCAAAAATTTCAAAAATGTCTGCAAAAGTTGGCTGAATGTCATCAGTATGTACAGTACAGTTTATTCTCAATTAAAATATATTGCCATTAACCAAATCAATTCATCTCCTTGACCTTTTTTAGTAAAAGTCAAGACAAGAATGCTACCACTTGTGGGTTAATCAGACTATTTGTTCAATCCATACAGGGCCCTACTTTTTTATTTTACTCTCACTGTCTCAATTTATGATTTTACTCATCAAAGGAACAGTTCTACCACTCAATGAGTTAAAGGGAGTAGTTACTATGCATGCCCGGTATAAATGTTCAGGTTCGACTAAATGAATGTACATTTGATTGTTAGGACTATGTGCTGGAACCTTCTTACCTCTCCAGGCCAGACAACCACAAACTTTCTCTCATTGGAAACAGGTGTATATTGCCCTACTGCACAACAAAGACTAACTTTAACCTGTTGAGTCACATTGAGCCCTACTTTACCATTTACTGTGTCTAATGCCAGGCTATTTTACTCTGTTTAATGCCAAATGATTTTACTTTCAGGGGGACAGCTCTGTCTAGTTAACCCAAAGAGTCGCATTGCACCCTGGCACACCCTACTTTGTTAGTTTACTCTCTAATGCCAAACAATTTTACTCGCAAGGGGAGAGCGCTGGTGCTTAATATGGGTTAAATTGACCTGATAGTGTGTGTGACCAGGGCAAATGTTATATCTAGCCTACCCATTTAGCTACAAAAGTATTTTCTGTTTTCTAGTGTAAAACGTGTATCAATTCATGGCATTGAGTTCAGACCAGGGTGCACACTATGGTTGAAGGATATGGATGAATTTGCAGGAAGTGACTACCCTGTGTATGCTCAGCTGGATGATCTTATTGTGTGGGACGATGAGAAATTTCTGTAAATATCCTGCAAACAGTCTCCTTTTCACACAAGTTCAAGGCTTATGAAGTTAAGCATGGTGAAGAATATACTGTGGTGTTTTGTAACTTACCATGGCATGGTGTACTTAATATTGTGAGGAAGCAAGGAAAGCAATTTATTGTTAAGAAAAGTTCTGCTGCTGTAGAAGATAGTTTATAAATTGAAGCAGTTGTCATATTGTAGTAACTGAACCTCTTGTAGGGCCTCCACAGACTAGAGTTATCAACAACTTTTATTTGTCTACTATTAACTTTGTGTAGCTACTCCCCACACACTGGAAAAATTCCTTTGTTAATAGTAGTGATTTGACAACTAAAAGTCAAGTTTCCCTTTGAGAGGGAAACTACTTTGCTGTCGACTACGAAACATTTTTCAAATTTTTCATACTTGATTTATAGTTGTCAAAAGCATTTTGTCCTCGACAGCAGGTTTGCCGACAATTACTAATTACTATAGTCTGTGCAGATCCTAAATATTCTGAGAGACTGGCTTGAAAAGATGGGAGTCAATTTTATTAATATTAATTCTAATAATAATAGATATTATGGGATGTGGGATGTTTGTTTGATTTTCTGCTGGTTATCACAGCTAACTTTACAATACGATTGACCAATCAAGATGCTGATAGGACCAGCCACATGCATATGAAGATATGCACTTTTTGTACATAGTTTTGAAAATGTTTGTAAAATTAATTTAATTTGCAACATGTTATAACGATAATAATAAATAAATTAATGTTGGATTCTTTTCAAAGACACTGTTTATATTCAGTTGAAGCCCAGATTCGAAGCTTGTAGCACACTGGTAAATCCCCAGCACGCCTTTTCAGTCTGCATATGCACTTACTCTCGAGACAGGTGAAAAATATAGACCTAAAAATGACAAAAATTCCCCACGCAATATTTCGAGGTTCAATTTTGAGATTTGCCTGTGCTTTCTTATAAACTTTCCAATCTGGTTGATGACATGATAATAACATACATGGGAAATCCGGTTATTAAGTCCAATTGACAATTGTGAAATTCAAATGTTTGCTTTGTGAAATGGTTAATCAGCCAGTAAATATAAATATTTGGTTGTTTGGCCAATAATTTTTGCATCTTGACTTTGGTTGGAACTTTTTTGAATTGAAATGTATATTCTAGATTATATTCATTTACAATTGGGAACCAGAAAAGTGTTAGTTATTCAGTTATTCATATTTCCACAAATATAGCAATTCAAAATGTAAACAAACGACCTCTAAACTTGTTTACCAATTCGGCAATTAATTTGCTGATACCTGTAATCAGGTGACCCTATAGCCTCTGATCAGGCTTGCTACTATAAAGCTTATATAATATTTTATAAAAGTGTGTTAGTTTAAGATGTGTGTTTTTGGAAAGGTGTGTTTGTTGGTTAAGTGTGTTTATTCTGTGCAGTGTGTTTTTCTATCAAAGTGTGTTTATCTTTAAACTTGGGTTAATTAACATACGTTTCATAGGAAGGGTGTGCTAACTAAAGCCCAGGTCACACTACACAACGATAATATGATAACCTGTATACACGCACTGATTGGTGAGAAATTTATCGTTATTGTCAGGCTAAAAAAAAATTGCTCAGGTGAGCGATTTTAAAATTGTTATTGTTATCGTTTAACAATAATTTTATCATTTTCGTTGTTGTGTGGACACCAACACAATTTTTTTTGCCAATTATTGCATGTTTACAATTTATCGTATTGTTGTGTAGTGTGACCGGGCCTTAACACGATAGAAAAGGTGTGTTTTTCTGAAAGTGTGTTATCTAACACATTCACTTCCATCGCTGTGTGTTATTATGCACTGTAACTGTGCGTTATATAACCCACATGTGTGTGTTATTTAACTCACAAAGGTGTGTTATGTTGAAATCGTACGAGTAAAATGTGTTCTATAACATACTTAACATCCTATATAACACATTTTTGTATGTTTTGCAACACACCTATTTTTAAGAGTGTACGCCAACATATCTCAAATATCTATAAATTGACAGAAACACAACATTTATTACTGTAATAATTACAAGACAGTTTATACAGTTGAAGCAGCAAAAGTAATTTAATTTATATCTGTGCTGACTTACTTGTCTTCAGGTACATTTTTCTACTTACAATAGTGACTTCCATCCATGCAAACCCATACAAACTAAATACTGCCCAGCTAGAGTTAACACAGCTTATTCGTGATTGCTAAAAAGTCTTTGTGTTGGATAATCCACTTGATATGCTCTATCGAGCCGTCGAAGGCCATTTCCCGGTCATATCCATGACTTCCCGACAACATCTGTACTCGAGAGATCCTACAAGATGTAAAACAATGGTAACTCCAAAAATAAACATTTCGATATTCTAGCTTTCGACTAAGATTCAGTCATCATCAAGAATGATGCTAGGTTACAGGTTACATTACATCAAAAAATATATATATATATATATATATATATATATATATATATATATATATATATATATATATATATATATATATAGTGAAGATTAAGGAATTTGATATGTACAGAAACGATTAATTAAATATTAGAAGTTCTTTTGATGCCTTTATAGTTCTGTGATTAAGTTCAGGTTTAAGGCGTCTGTTGGCAAGTGCTTCCCTAAATAGCAATAAGGACCAATGATCAGATCCGTCTATAATCTTAGAGTTAGTAAATATAAATTCTGAAAGTACACAAGTTAGAGTTGGGTTAGTTTCTTCATTTGGATACATGTACAGTTCTAAAATGGATTTAATATGTTGGGTAACCCTATTTTGGCAAATATGGTACCCGACTCATTTATACATAGAATAGCCCCACTACTAAAATTGAAATGCAACTTCATCATTAATTGGAAAACTACTTAACAGCAACTCGTTCCTCTCAAACAAAGATAAAACACCAACTAAATACCAAAGCTCTGTAGTGTACGAATTCACCTGTCCTGGATGTAAAAGTAGATACATCGGTATGTTAAGTTGTGCTCTTATGTATTATGTAATTTATGTTATTAAAGTAGAAACAATTGTTAGTTGTAATGTTATTAGTAATTGATATATTAAGTTACATATAGATAAAGAGCAAGAGACTCATGACTATATTTGGTAAATATCTGACCAATCACCGTAAAGCATAACTTATGTAAATAGTGTATATTCATTGTAAAAGCGTGAGTTGTATTCTGTCTGTCGTGTAAAATAAAGCTATAAGGAACTTATGTGCTCAAATTGAATATAATAAAGAATGGCAACCGCCACAAACCCAACAGGTTATGGGCCCAGAAGGGGACTACTATTTAACGGCGATGAAAGTAAATATGAACTATGGGAAGTAAAGTTTCTGGCGCAGATGAGGCTACAAAAATTACACGATGTATTTGTGCCAGGTGATAAAGAACCCGATGCATCGAGGAACGGAGATGCTTTCGCGGAGTTGGTACAATGCCTAGATGACAGAAGTTTGGTGCTAGTTATACGCGAAGCAAAAGACGATGGGCAGAGAGCATTGGAGATATTGTGACAGCACTACCAAGGAAAGAGCAAGCCTCGAGTTATCTCACTATACACAGAACTGACGACGCTCAAGAAAACGGACAGTGAGAGTATCCTTGATTATGTCATACAGGCTGAAACGGCTGCGACAGCATTGAGAAATGCAGATGAAGCTGTAAGCGACATGTTATTGATCGCGATGGTGCTAAAAGGATTACCAAGTAACTTTAATACATTCTCGGCGATAGTTGTCCAACGAGACAAGCAAATGACATTTGCAGAGTTTAAAGTCGCACTGCGTAGCTACGAAGAGAGCGAGAAAAGTAGAAACGGTAACAGCGAGACGGGAGAAAATATTATGGCCATGAAGAACGGCGAGAGATTTGACGGAGTTTGTTTCAAGTGCGGGAAGAAGGGACACAAAAAGTCTGAATGTTGGTCGAAGTCGGGAAAGAACGGAAACGAAAAGTGGTGCAGTCGTTGTAGAAACAAAACGCATGATACGAAGGAATGCCGATCAAATATGGGGAGAAATGATTCTGTGAAGAAAGCCGAAGATCAAGGAAGAACGAAGACTGAGAACAGTGAACATACGTTTACATTTAAAGTCAGTGACAGTAGTGGCTGTGGTAAGAGTTATAGTAACAATCTTTTAGTAGATACTGGCGCTACTAGCCATATTGTAAATGATAAATCTAAGTTTATAAGTTTTGATGAAGATTTTGACCCAAATGCGCACATTATAGAGCTCGCAGATGGCAGTAAGGCTAAGGTTGTGACAGGTAAGGGCGTTGCAAAGGTTAAGCTATATGACGTAAACGGAAGTTCTCATGATCTAATTTTAAATAATGCGCTTTATGTCCCATCGTATCAGCAGGATATCTTTTCAGTCAATGCAGCAATAGAAGAGGGCGCAAGCATAAGCCTAGATAAGCATAGCAAGAGTTTTAAGAGCTCGGATGGTGCAGTTTTTAATATTGAACAGGTAGGTCGTTTATTTTACCTAAACGGTATTTCATCTTCCAAGAATAATGCGGGTACAATTTTAGAGTGGCATAGAATTCTAGGGCACTGTAATTTTTCAGATATTTATAAGCTTGAAAATGTTGTAGATGGAATGAAGATCACTAGTCATAAGGAAGTGGAATGTAAAACATGCACACAAGGTAAGATAAGAGAAATAGGACACCTGATAAGAGAGCCAATGCCCCCATTTGATTTAGTTCATTCAGATTTAGCTGGACCAATTAGTCCAGGTGGTAAGGATGGTTTCAATTATGCATTGTCTTTTGTGGATGATTACTCTGGTGTTATCATGATATATTTTTTAAAGCATAAATCTGATACAGGCGAAGCTACTAAACAATTTTTAGCAGATATTGCCCCTCTTGGTAAAGTGAAATGTATCAGAAGTGATAATGGTGGGGAATTTATTGGGCAAAAGTTTAAGTCTCTACTCCGAGAGAACACAATTAAACATGAAGCGTGTGCCCCATATTCACCCCATCAAAATGGCACAGCAGAAAGAGCTTGGCTTAGCTTATTTAATATGGCAAGGTGTTTGTTGTTAGAAGCCAAGTTACCCAAAATGTTATGGACATATGCTGTGATGGCTTCAGCATATATAAGGAATAGGTGCTTCAATGACAGATTGGGCAAAACCCCATATGAAGCCTTAACTGGCATAAAGCCAAATCTGAATAATATGTACGTATTTGGTGCAGTATGCTATGCATATGTGCAAGGTTCTAAGAAGCTTGAACCTAGAATAAGGACGGGATTTTTGTAGGGTATGACAAAAATAACCCTGCATATTTGGTGTACTATCCAGAAAGCATGAAAGTTGAACGAGTGAGATGTGTTAAATTCTTTGATTCAACTGAATTTGATAACGAGAACCATCAAATTGACGAGGTTGTCTCACTTCCCCGCAATACTTCTTACGGTGAGCAACAAACTGGAGCTGATGAGAATATTGAACCAGCTATTCCACCAGTAGAGGGTGAAGTAAGTAGAGTAAGATACCCTACTAGGACTCACAATAAACCTGCTTACCTAAGTGAGTATGTTGTAGAAAGTATCACTGATAGTAGCGCTAATGTTGTAATAGATTATTGCTATAGGATGAATGACATCCCAGCTTGTTATTCACAAGCAGTAAATTCACCAGATTCAGCTCGGTGGAAAAAGGCAATGGATGAAGAATTTGACTCTCTGGTAAGTAATGAAACATTTACACTTACCATGGTTCCACCCAACCGCAAGATAGTAGGTGGAAAATGGGTGTACACAATTAAATCAGGTCCTAATGACGAGGAGACATATAAGGCTAGGAATATTACAGGTAAGTAATAAGGTGTTGATTAATGCTGATAACCAAGGCGCGATCAAGTTAGCAAGGAATCCAGCATTCCATAAGGAGCAAGGCGCAATAAGCTTAAGGTATATCGCAAGCGAGGATAATTTAGCGGACATATTCACAAAACCGGTAAGTAAAGTTAGGATGGATAAGTTCAAACATTTTATCTGTAATTAGTTGTGAAGTAGGAGTAAAGTAGGCGAAGTTAGGACATTGCGAGCAAGGGGGTGTTAAGTTGTGCTCTTATGTATTATGTAATTTATGTTATTAAAGTAGAAACAATTGTTAGTTGTAATGTTATTAGTAATTGATATATTAAGTTACATATAGATAAAGAGCAAGAGACTCATGACTATATTTGGTAAATATCTGACCAATCACCGTAAAGCGTAACTTATGTAAATAGTGTATATTCATTGTAAAAGCGTGAGTTGTATTCTGTCTGTCGTGTAAAATAAAGCTATAAGAAACTTATGTGCTCAAATTGAATATAATAAAGAATGGCAACTGCCACAAACCCAACACGGTAAAACAGATCGCTCCTTCTATGCCTGAATCAAAGAACACTCACTGGACAACAAATCTGAAGTCTTTAACCACATCACATCATGCGAACACTTTTAACATATCAAATCCATTTTAGAACTGTACCCAGACGAAGAAACTAACCCAACTCTAACTTGTATACTTTCAGAGTTTATATTTACTAACTCTAAGATTATAGACAGATCTGATCATTGGTCCTTATTGCTATTTAAGGAAGCACTTGCCATTAGATGCCTTAAACCTGAACTTAACTCATTCCCATCCGGTCGAAAAGTAGCAATTTCGAGTGGTGTTGTTTCAAACGCATATATCTTTCAAACTATACATCGTACGAAAACAGAAATTGCATCGTTCGAAAGAGGAGGACTTCTGCTTTTCAACGATACCAATCAATTTCATCCGAAGCTTGGTTAACGATTTACTCGCATAAATTA